ACAGCAAACCATTCACTTAAGTCCGTGACAATGTTGGGAATATGGTGACTGTCTCATGATGACCTAGCCTATATGAGCGACTACCAAAAATATTAGCCATCACTTGGATAGTAGGTAACACATCAAGTATATAAATGAGTATCCAGGTCAAGATTTCGTCTTTCCTGCCAAAAATGGAGTCAGAATTAAGAGATCTACAATGAATATCTCTGAACCAGTATCCACATATAAAATCAGATGCAATCAAAACAAAGACATTAAGGCTGAATCCACGTCGGGCAAACATGTTTGAGGATCGCATTTTTGATAACGTGTTCTGCCTATAGATTGTATATAACATGGATGTAGGCTCAGTGATGTCAACCATTGGTGTCTAAAGAGGGATTTTGAAGTCCATCGATGGCGATCATAGGGTGATTAATCTAGTTTCAATTTCAAATACAATTTTGTCTTCCCTCGATCATAAAAACATGATAATTATCGTGATATCATCAAAATGTTTGTTGTTAAATTTTTGCCACATGAGTAGTTATTTTTTAAAGTGTTCACAATGTTAAGAGTGTGTAAGTTTGATAAATGCATATGATCCACATCACAAATCAATAAGTGATCATGTTTAACAACTGTTATCTCAACATCAATCAAAATGCCATAATTGAGCGGCCCTAAAGGCGATCACCGCATTGGAAATGCTTTCTCAACCTTACTTCTCAATCAGTCTAGAAACCGTCAAAGAGGAGGAGCTGAGGTTGGACTTCAGCCTCCTGACAAACATGTCGACCTGTCAGGCAACTCAGCCACGCCCCTAATTATGCAAATTCAAATTCAAATTCAAATAACCCCTGTACAGAAAGGGAACTGTCTAGACCAAAACTGTTTTTTATAGCTGCCTATAAGTTTATTCCTGATGTAAAAACGTGCATTTCCACATGAAACCTAATGGGGATTCCTTTGTTTATGGCAAGCCTCAAGTGGACACTCTAGGAACTGCACATCTGTATTGGCTTTATTTAGTTCTGCCACTTTTGCTCTCCATATGAACTACTATTTTTCTATGCAACCAAAGAGCCCTGAGGTGGGTCAGTATTCCTCACAAACAGACTTCACACACCACAGGACGCTTCCTTAAAAATCAAAATCCTGCCCCCTAAATACAGATCCAACATTCATATGCACAAATCTGTTCATGGAGAAGTGGTTGGTTGATGTGGGCACATAAATCCAAATCTAAGTACGTGCAAATAACAACGCAGCAATTCCAATTTGAAGATTGGATTTTGGAAACAAATCTTGTTTTTTCCAGCAGTCTGTACAAAGCCAAAACAAACTACAGAGTGTGTTAATGAACTATATTTTCTCTATGTGCAACAGCTTGACCCATATGTGTTTTGGAGGACTGTTCAGCCATTAAAAAAAACGACAGAATTGTGCAAAAGAAAACAGAAAAAAAAACTCTATAAAGTTGAAGTGGCAGAGCCCTCTTATGGTCATTGTAGTTGGGACAAGAATAGAGGAGGAGATCAGGTGATGTGCTCTGAAAGGCTTTATATGTGATGTTTTGATCCAGCAGATGTCGCCCTTGAGCACCAGCATGAAACCAAAACAACCCGCAGTGCATTGTTGTGTTAGCATGCTAATGCTAGTGATCTTTATTATGCTGGTATCTTCACACTGCATGTAAATTTACCTGAAATGAGCGTGATCTAGAAACACAGTTAAGCAGTGAGTACAGTATGTTATTCTTCTTTTCTCTAGTCCCTCAATTAAACAACTTTTATACAGGAGGGGAGGAGTCAGCCGGCCGTCCGGGCGATGTAAACAAAGTGAAGATAGGACTCTGAAAACTCTGAAAACATCACAGACAGTGGGACTTGGGTGTTACACCCATTGTAGACAGTCATGACTCACAGAGTTATTTTCAGAGGATATACTTGATTTATATTACATTTAAGTGTGAAAAATCACATATGAAGACTTTAAAGCAACAAAGTCCAGACAGGGTGAGGGTGGATGAATGAGTTATCAAAACAACAGGCTGTGTCGAGAGCTTGGCTTCTACTGAACAGTGAAGATCTTAAAATGTCTCCAGTTTTAACCACTATTTGAACCCACATTTTAATTTTCCAGATACCACATTCTTTTAATTCCTTGCCTAACCGAACCCTCGCTGTATTGATTTCACATATAGCCAGTGAGCTGAAAATGGTTGTGGAAGGCACGGACAGTTGATGTTTCCGTGTTGAAAGTTGCATGAGATCATAAGACACTTCAATGCTTCTGTAACCCGGTCTGTCAGGATTCCTATGCACAGATACTCAGTCGGATCAATTCACCGTCGGCTCAGTCTAACTCTAGGTTTATTTACTAGAACTTAAAGAGATACTTCACCCGTTGAAACATGAATCTGTATTGACATTGGGTCATATATGTAGTAGAAATGTGAAATAAATTTTGAAGTTGGTTCCTTTACGTTAAGTTTCGATTCTGGGAGTGAGTTCCCACCAATTGATCTGTGATTGGTCTGTAGCTTCAGTGGTCGAAAATATGAGGAACTAGCGTTGTAGTTTCACCCCGCTAACCGCAACAGCTTCCAGTGATGCAAAAATCGTCATTTTGCGTCACTGGAAGCTCCTTTTCAGACTCAGAAATACAAAGATTTCCCATCTTAGGGGAAAATGAGGGCGACCATTCAAAAACACTACCAGGTTTCTAATGATACAAAGATTAATGCAAATGGGTGAAGTATCCCTTTAATTATATTTAGCCCTCTGTAAACTAGTAAGCTTTTTCAAACAAACAAAGAGGTTTGCTCACCAAAACGCACAAACTCACACTCTCCTTGTTTGCATGATCTGGCGTGGGTTCTTGTCCCTGACGGCCACTTCGCAGAGCATGAAGGTGTTAATTTGGTGTGTCACTGCTATGACTAAGAAAATGGTGTTCCTCCTCAGCTGTAACCTTTAGACTCAAAATCTGGGCGTTGAAAGTCGCCCCTCTGAGCTCCAGACTGTGTGTCACTGTTGGAAACACGCTGTTGGGCACCACAAGTGAAAAGGGCAGGGGGAGGGGGGGGTTTGATCACCACCACTCACTCACTCACTCCTCCACCCTCTCACTCCAACATGCCCATGCAAAGCTCACACATGCCGGCCCCCCCTCCAGCAGGGCTCTGGTAACACTTCTGAGAATCCAAACAGCGTTAAGTGGAGTCGCATCCCCGGCTACTGAACCGAACTGACGGCTCTGACAGACAGTTAATAAGGATTCATGCTCCACGCAGCCCACAGAGCAAGGTGATTATGTGTGCAGGTAATTGGCCCACTGACAGCGACATGATCCTGGCCCCTGTTGTGACCGGCCTGAATAATGAAATAACAATAAAATGGCAAACGTGAGCCCCCCCCCCCCCCCCCACCCCTTCCAAACCCTGCACCCGAGGGGGGCATAAGTCACTTTTTGCACAGACTGGAAAATCGAGAGCTGAGGAGGCAAAAGGAATCAGCTAATTTCAGAGTGAGGAGCTGATTTTGTTGTAGTCTCAGGGTTTTCCCAGAGTGCTTTGTTTGCTTGCTCTTTGTCTGTAGCTAAAAGAGGCAGCTCAGAGCCATGTTGCACGATGAGTCACCTTGCCGGAGAGCCCGAAACATCAACCTTTTAATAACAGAGGATGTTTTGAGTGGGCAAGACGGCAACCTGGGGTTGATCCCGGTCTGTAACATGAAATGACTTTTGCATATCCAAAAACAAGCCCCGAAACTGATTTATACTCCGTCCCCGTGGCTCTCCAGTTTACTATGTCTCACAATAGAAAACTCTCAAGGCAGATGTCAGAAATTAGCACATGGGCTGTAATAGCACTATACGCCTATCTTAGGGAAGTGACTAAAATGGTAATATCCATCTGGGTTCCTACAGGATTTACAGTGTTTCTAATTATCTCAGGCTTAAGGACTACCTGCTGAGCCAGGCGGCGCAGGTTTCTGCACATCTGGTCAGATCGCATTTGGCCGCGAACCAAAGAGAAAGGGAACTACTTATTGTTTTGTTTTGGGGGGGCTCTCCGGGAAATTCAAGCAACAGCAACAAGAGCGGAAGAAAGACAACAACAAAAACAGAAGCTGACAAAAACAAAAGGAGGGGATGACAAATTAATTTTCTTCAACGTCACAGACACCATTGTCTGGCCGGGAACAGTGATCGTCACAGGATCAATAGTTGATCATCCTGTGGTGTGACACACGCAGAGGGGGGGGGGGACAGCTGATTTACACATTAACAAAAAATGATTGTGAGTCATGCATATTCAGTCCCTCTCACTCTGTTTGTCATCCTGCAGACCTAATTGGCTAACTTTCTTTGTTGCTATGCTGGCCGGATTTCAGATGTGTGGGAACTGCCCCCCCCCCCCCCCCCTTAACTGGTTGACTTAGCTATGAAAACAGTGTTATTTAGACAAACAGATCACTGAACAATCATCAAAAAAACTGTCTCTAAATTAAGAACATAGGGTCAGCTGTTCAATGCTGTGGAGATTTTTTAAAGAAAATAAATGTGGGATTATTTGTCTTATAAATAACACTGATGTGACTATTTTTAAACGAGAGCAACCTAGGCTTCATCCTAGATTGTTTTTTTTTTCAGAGGAGGCAGTTGAGGGGAAGGTGGGTGGAAGAAAAGAGAGAGAGAGATGTAGGACAGGATGGTTGTAGTAGCTCCAGAGACCCTTTGTGATTTGCTGTATAACAAAAAAAATCAAAATGGCAGATTACAATAAAATCCTCTATGGTGTGTGTGTTAAAATATTCCTAAAAAAAAAAAAAAAAAATCCAGCTGACCTGGATCAATTCATGCATGGTTAAAATAAAAGGTCCCCACAGCATCACGTTTTTTAAAGCTCAGAAACAAACAGCCTGTCTGTCTGTCTGTCTCTGTGTGTGTGTGTGTGTGTGTGTGTGTGTGTCTGTCTGCGTTAGGAACCGTTTCTCTTGCTGCATGTCTACCTGCTCTGGGCCTTGGAAGCAGATCCGGCACTGGGGGGTCCGCAGGCTGCTGGCGGTGCTGGCCAGAGACACGGCGTCCAGGCCCACTTGCAGCTTGGGCTCCTTGTCCTCAAACGCCAGGCTCCGGGGCCGCGGGTCGCTGCCGTAGTACTCCTCCTCGTCGTCCCGGGAATGGCAGTCGACGAACGGGGGCCAGCCGCAGCCGCCCATCCCCAGACCTCGCATGGTGGTGGTGGTGTTGGTGGTGGACCGTCTATCTGTGTCGGAGCCGGACTGTCTCGAATCGGATCGCATAAACACCAGGACTTTCAGTTCATTGAAAAACATGCGGATCCGATACTTGAACATGTTTGGCTACATACAGAATCCGAGAGTGGAATCAATAAAACAAGTTTTTCTATTATTATTATTATTATTATTATTATTGTTCACACAACCAATGTTTTCAGGGCAGCATCTCCATCATCACCCCAACCAGCCTTTTTATTTGAAATCCAGAGAAATAAAAGGCTCTCGCTCCACTGATGGCATGTGTGCCTAAGCCAATGCGGATGAAAGATTTTCCCTTTCAGCTGGCCGACACACTCTTTCAATATTCATTACTCAAACAACTCGGCAAACGCTGTCTAAGATGCATCTTCCACCGCACCCCAGAAAAACACCACAACTTGTTCTCTTTTTCTCATTTCCACGGTCCATTTTTTTTCTCTTCACCGCTGCATGCTCTCTCCTGGTTTCTCTCAGATTGTGCACTGTGGAGCTTGCAGCAAAGAAAGAAGAGGGGGAGACAAAAAAAAAAAATAGCCCTACATGTTTTGCTACCCAAAGCAGAAGACAGCGAGAGAGTGGACGAGTGGAAGCGAGAGGAGCACAGAGGCAGGAAAGAGAAGATGGGATGTAAAATACAACGACATGCCATCCACACAGTCACATCTGGGACTCTTGTCGAGAATCATAATCCAAAAAAAAAAAAAAACAGCCAAAAAAAAAAGGTGCAGGAGATGGAATGGAAGTTTGATCCAAAATCCGATTATAAAAATATCTCCTGTTTCTTATTTGTCCCCTCACTGTAGCATCCCGAGCTTCAGATCATGGTCCATTTTTTTCCCTCTCCCCTCCTCTCTCCCTCTCTCTTTCTATTTCATCTCCTTTCTGTAAACCCGCGTTTCGATCCACGAAGAATCCGAGCCATTCACCGACACGACAAATCCACACGTCGAGATCAAAAACACACAATTCCTTTTTTCATTTGCATTTTCCGGAGCCTAGCAGCAGCAGCAGCAGCACAAAAACACCCGAGAGCCCCATGTTTCCCATCTTCGCTCGATGTCCATCAGCATTTCATCGCAAAGCCCAACAACACAGACAAAAAAAAAAAAAAATACACGGCAGGCACAACGCTGAAATGTCAAAGAAGAAGAGGCAGGAGGAAGAAAAGGCACCGTGCGATTCTTTTTCTAATTAGAGAGGGAGATAAAAAACGGGGGGAGACGCATGGAGATGTCTTCGCATCCGAGAGCAATTACACAGCAGTAATGGAATTGATTATTGGATCAGATAGATGGTGGTGATGATACTGCTGGCGCTGATTTTTCCTCCTCGAAATGGTCGGTTTTGGAAATTGAACCAACGCAGCAGCTACTTCCGGAACAGGGAGAAGAAGAAGAAGAAGAAGAAGGAGAAGAAGAAGACAAAGCTGTCATCCTGTTAACACGTCGTTATTGTCCCCCTCTTCCAGTCGTTTTTTTGTTTTTTTTGAAGTGGTAGATGTAGCAGCTCTCCCCGTGCTCCAGGCTGCTGGGCAGGGAAGGAGCTCTGGTTGCTTTATTATTGACCAGCCGTCGCTGTCCAGGGTGCTGATCTCCCCTCTGCTGACGTGTTCTCTGCGGCCACATGCACTGGGAGCCCGCGAAGTACAAAACTGAGCCCCTTTGTTAATATGAGTGTGTGTGTGTGTGTGTGTGTGTGTGTGTGTGTGAGAGAGAGAGAGAGAGAGAGAGAGAGAGTATCAATAAAAAAAGTAGGCTAATCAGATCTCCTACTTTGGTCATAGTAAAAAGACAACAGTTTAGAAATTCGTCATTCCAAACACACGAATAAAATGACTGTTTTTTAAATAAAAGCAGCTAAAATCTTAAGGAATCTTATGATAAATCTGGCAGTGGTGAATTCAGGGGGTATCCAAAGGGCTCCAGATCCAATAACTGCTACATCAGCACTGCATACCCCCCCCATAAGAGAGTCCCCAAATAAGGCCACTGCAGCATGTTTCCTCCACTGGAAGCTCGCTGTAGAGATTGCAACAACATTCTCTGGACAAGAAACACAACTTTGAGGGAGCTGCATCCTGATTTCTTTTTTTTTTTTGGATGATACTTGTACTGTGCATGTATTGCCTCCTGAGACGCCCTCGCGCCCACTCCCCACCCGCTGTCCAACAGTGAAAACTTGTGAGGGACATAAGGGAACAAGAAACGCAAAAAGAGCTCAAGCGTGGTAGTCCCCTGAAATTTCTAGGAGTGTATGTGTGTGTGTGAAGCGCTTTGGTTGGCATTTTGTTTACTAGATTAAAAAAAGACATTCAACAGGTCACTGCATCATGTTCTCTCAGTTTTTGGTCCTAATGGAAAAAGAATCACACTTTCTCCACTGGCAGGAAATTCAAGAAAGCCCTGAATTTTGATTTCTCTTTTTAAAGGGCTACTTTCGTGCACTGTATTATGTTTTCTCCAGTAAACAGGTACCATTGAAGATCAGATTATCAAACTGGTTTCTGTGTTTTTAAACGAGGGCACCAGCGGCCTGGGAGGACAGGAGAACTACATCATACTGAATCTGTTATTTAGATTTAAAAATACTGGGTACATTTGAGGTACTGTACTGGGACTATTTCAGGGTTGTGCATTGGCCTTTATGCAGCTGATCTGGATTAAACAGTTTCTTCTCGTTGACACAATAAAAGTCAAAGCAGGCCACAAACTGAAAATGAATCCCACAACACCGCCTGGCCTCAAGTTACCCTACATAAAAATGATCCTAATAAGTTCCAGGCAATGAGGGAGACACATATTTATGTCTGAATAAGGGGTGAAATGGTTTCCAGTCTATTGCTCTGTGGCTCATAAATGTACACTAGCTTTGAGGTACTTGTGCTGTACATGTATATTCAATTTAAGCAACTTCCTACATTTCAGAGAGCTCAAAGTGAACGTCTTTACTTCCCTACATTCACTGAAAAGCTGCGCTGACTCTGCAGATAAAATAGCTTATATACATCTTCTATAGTCAGTATTAATAATCCCATAGAATATCATCCTAAGGGTTGCAAGTGGCCTAGCGGTTAGTGCGCTTCCCCTATGTACAGAGGCTAAATCCTTGAAGGCGGGCAGCCCGGGTCCAAATCTGACCTGTGGCTCCTTTCCCGCATGTCATTCCCTACTCTCTCTCTCTCTCTCTCTCTCTCTCCAGTTTCTGACTCTACCCCACTGTCCTGTCTCTCCATTAAAGGCACAGAAAAGCCCCAAAAATTAAAAAAATATCATCATAAAAGTGTGAAAGGAGTCACATTTCTGCAGGATTAATACTTTACCTTTAAGTGCGTTTGCTATGTTTTTGAATTACCACGGCAACAAAAACAGAATTCCTATATATGAATCTAATATTGGGTAATTTCTTTTTTTTAATGCTCAGAAAAATTGCACGCAAACACTTAGTGTCTAGACTGTGCAAATACATTGGCAACCTTCTGATATATTTGTGCAATGCAGACAACGTGTGTAAGTGTTTTATTTTTATGGATTCATTTATCTCCTCCACTCCGCTCTCCTTTTAAAAAAAAAAATCTATGGTACCTTTTGATATAATCTACCATTAACATAATCGAGTATATCTTTAAATAAATGTAGTATCAGACAAGCTTTCTATCACTCCTGATGATGCTAGAGACACAGCTTGAGCAGAGTTAATTGGTTGTTTACTATTTTATTGTCTTGTTTTTCTGTTAAATTGGGGCTTTTTGTTTTACTCTATGCAGATGCTCTGATTCACTCCTATGTGACATCATGTTGTACTGTCTGCAAAAATTTAATAAAAAGATTTGAAAAAAATAAAAAATAAACGTGGTATCAAGAAGTATAGAACATTTTGACGACCTTTTTCTCCAGTATGTGATTTTAAAACCTTTTACTTTGAATAGATACAAAGACATAAAATATTGTAGTACCTCTTCCACTACAGCTTCTATTGGACTGAAATCAGCAGAGACTCTTGAGGTATTTTGGTCGGTGGGGGGGAGAGAGGGAGTTAGATCAGTGCATCCCTTGTCTCTTTCTCAAGCCATTGTGCTGAGACGGATAAAACCGACAGCACTGCAGCCAACATGTACCTGCACTGTGCGCAGTACTCTCCCTGAAAGTTCAGCAACAAGCGTCACGGTGTCAGGACTGGAGTGGTAAACACAGCAGAACAGAAAAACCGTCTCAGTGGCGTTTATCAGGACGGAGAGACAAGGTAATTAGGGAAACATCAGAGGCACGAGGCCACAGGTCGGTTTAATCTGCAGTTTACAGAGAAGAAACGGCCTCATTGCCTCCCTCTCTCTCCCTCTCTCTCTCTCTTTTCACACACTCTGCGTTCTCTTCCATAGCAACACTTCCTACTGAATCCCCTGTCACATTGATCCTGATTGATTTTTCACACTCTGCTTGTTACAGATATGGATTTATTTCAAGCATAACACTTGATTCGGGATGCGCTGCCATACCTCGGCTATAATGCCACATGTGTAAATACAGTGCAGTATGGACTGTGTTCAGTTGTGTGAAATGATTAAAAGGGGGTTGGGAGAGCGTCATGATTGTTTGTTTACAGCCTTTTGACCACCATCAGTTCAACGAGCCTTTCTGCTTACGCTGTTATTATGTAAAACTCCGGCAGTTGACCTCATAGCACACAATACATCTGAATATGTTCATCTTTCAAGACTGGAACACATGAATTGCCAAACTTAGATTAGCATTTTAACACACCTAGCTGCTCTGCAAGTGAACACAATGTAGGAATACGTGATGGCACACTGTGTGGGAGGTTATTTTATGATGATTCTGTGTCGGGGGAGGGTTGGTGGTTAATGCTAATGAGGTGATCATTTTAAAAGTCGGTATTTCAGAGCATCCTGCTTTTCTATTCCGATTTGTACGCTGAAGATTTTTATAGCTGCCCACCAGGAAGTCACAATTATGTTTAATGTAGTGAAAACCTGTATTTCTCACCTCAATTTCTCTTTTTCATTTTGCTCATCATCTGACTAGTTCTCCCTTTTAGTTTAGTAATTTAAAAAAAAAACCTTTGGACATCATGTTCTAAATGCTTTTACACTGGATGTTGTTGTGAATCACATCAGTGGTGATTCTATCTCTCACACGGACTTTCCCTCCAGAGCTTTTTCTGACCTCCTCCAGCCCTACACTCCGTCCCTGGACCTCCAGTCCTCTGACACTGGTTTGCTGCTCTTCATTGCCCACACCGACCTGGGGACTCACCGGGCCAGAGCCTTCAGTGTGCCCCCCCCCCCACCCCCCACCCTCTTGAACCGTCTCCCAGGAGATATCCGCAATGCTACGTCCTTGGACATGTTATGAAAACTCTTGAAAAAAAACGGTCTGTTCAACTCAGCTCATGGACCTTGGTTAATTGTGTTTTCTTTGTTTGTGTGTTTGGATGTAAAGTGTCATTGAGTAATTGGTAAATGATAAAAATGGACCTGAGCTTGTATAGCCGACAAAGCAGCAGGAGCGACTCAGGGTTAAGTGTCTTGCCCAAGGACACATCGGACAGGTTGCTGCAGGAGCTGGAAAATCGAACCCTCGACCTTTCCGGTTGAGAGACGACGAATCTACTAACTGAGCAACAGCCGCCCCCCCCCCCCTCTGAAAATAACTCTGTGAGTCATGACTGTCTACAATGGGTGTAACACCCGAGTCCCACTGTCTGTGATGTTTTCAGAGTTTTCAGAGTCCTATCTTCACTTTGTTTACATCGCCGGGACGGCCGGCTGACTCCTCCCCTTGTGTATAAAAGTTGTTTAATTGAGGGACTAGAGAAAAGAAGAATAACATACTGTACTCACTGCTTAACTGTGTTTCTAGATCACGCTCATTTCAGGTAAATTTACATGCAGTGTGAAGATACCAGCATAATAAAGATCGCTAGCATTAGCATGCTAACACAACAATGCGGCGCGAGTTGTTTTGGTTTCATGCTGGTGCTCAAGAGCGACATCTGCTGGATCAAAAAAATCACATACAAAGCCTTTAATGCCACACAAGGCCAGATAATAGTGTTAATCTGTTCGTTATTAAAACATGAAAAAATGAATATGGAGAAGCAGCTCATGAAAGTAACTGGCCTAAGGTGTAAATAAAATACCACATTAATATGAAATAAATGAGGGAGCACAGTTTCATTAGAATTTAGGTTCAAGGCTCATTAAATTGTCTTTTTTTTTTTTTTTTTTGGCTTGCACAGTGAAATGCAAGGTGCAATTTCTTCTGTTACACAAGAAAGACTATTTTTTACGGTGGAGTACGGGGGATGAGTAGAGAAGTCTTACAGCCTGAGGGAAGAAGCTCTCTGTAGTCTGATGATACAGCATCTGATACTGTATCCCTTGCAAGACAACACCAGGGTGAACAGGCTGTTGCTGGAGTGGGCATTGCCTTTTTAATACCCACTCTGTCTTTTAGAAAAGGAGTATCTGCTTCCTCAGATTTACTTTTTGTTAAACATTAAAAATCTAACTTCCCTCAAACATCGTTGTCATTAATTTGTCGATAATTTAACCTTTCAGGAAATCAGAATCTGTCTTATAAAATGAATATTATCATGGAAAACAGATGTAGCAAATAAAGCCTGCTCTAGTGTGAGTCCAGATACTTGTTTGGGTGT